GAGGACGACTCGTCGCCCGTATTACGCACGGCAGAACGCGATGCCACTCACATTCAACGGGATGTGGACGTCGCGGATGTTCCTTGCCTGGACGAAGAACATGTCGTACTTGAAGGAGTCCCCGCGCGGATCCGTGAACACGCAGTCTCTCATGACGACGTTCATGTAGCTGCAAAAGACGAGAAAGCGGCATGTTCAGAGATCTGACGAATCGCGTACAATATTTTTAGGTTTCGCGGGCGTTTTTTTTTTTTTCGAGGAAGGGACATCGTCGTGTCAATGCTCGTTTCGCCGTAAAAGTCGCATACTTGTCGTCGTCGAGAGAAAATCAAACGATGGATCTCTGACGCGTGCGGCAAAATTTCACGTCGCAGGGTAAACGAAATTGTTTACTTACGGGTCGGCGTGATCGACGACGCCGACGATCGTCGCCTCGTTCCGCAGATCCACCGTCGTTCGGTGCTTCTCCACGGCCTTCAAGAGGATCGACAAGGTGTTGTAGAGGAAGTGTTTCTCGTGTCTCGTGTACTTCTTATCCATCGCGAACAGACGAGCGTGAGACCGGTGCCGCGCAACACGTCTACACCGCTGAAAACACGTGCAAAACTTCCGTCGCGGCCGACGGAATGGTTGGATTGGAGCGAGCTGGGTCACGTGACGGATCATCGTGCGCAACACGCGCGTAAATCGAGAACGAGTGTCGCGTTCGTGAAGAACGTAGCATTACGAGCGTCACGCTGTTATTATAAAATACTCAGCATCTCTCATTTAATTTGATCAATCTTTCATTAATTTTGCCATCCCTTTTACTTAATAACGCAGTTGCATGACATAATCATGAATTGTTAAAAGTGTCTACGATAAAAACTCAATCACTCTTATTGTGAAACATTTGCGGAATTGTATAAAATAGAAAATTATATATTTATTTTATCTAAGTTATAAGTGATCATATTTAATAGAATTATTATATTTACTTTATCTGAAAATTATTAAAATCGCCTTCACGCACGTAAAAGAAGCATGTATTTCTTCACTTCACAGCATTTATATATATTTATTGTTCAGAGTTCAAGCAACCAATTAAAAGAATTTCAGTATCTAGTAAATAAAAAATGTGGCAATAATTGTAGACGCAATTTCGTATCGAAATAATTTCAGTTAATTTATAATTCGCTTCAAAATACAAATCTCAAAAAAGAAACGTTCGTCATTCATGCTAAAGACAATGCAAAGTACGTGAGACAGATAGGAAACGAAGTCGAATTTATCATGCAAATGGAATGCACGAGCGACGACAATTGTAACTCAATTTTCTCGAACGCATTAATTAATTCCATCTCGAATTGGCTCTCTCGCTCTTTCGCTCAGAAGTTACGGGATGTTAAACGCGTTATCATGGAGAGATTCGATTTGTCCTCGTATTATACTACCACCGTGAACCCGATGTTAGTCTATATATAGTCACTCATATAGCCGTCATTGCTAGAGGAGAATTAGGTTACTTCCCAACGGATATACAAAGGGGTCTTGTAAATGGTCGTATCCTACATGCATCTAAAACAATTACGCGCGCAAATATTTCCGCGTAACTGTTATCTTTTCGAATATCAGGAAGAAGCGTTAAAGAGCCAAAAGCAGGGTGAATTTTGCTTAAGTAATTATAATTCTCACATAAATAAATAAATGTTATCTTTTACTGCCAGTGATTCGCGGAGGATTGGAAACCGATGATTTCGACCGAAATCACATTCTTGTGAAAGCTGAATAGATTATAATTAATTATAACGTATACATTTCACTGTTCACAATAAATAAAGTCAGAAAACATTATGTCTTAAAGTCGTCAGTCTAATTGTAAGAGTCGTCGAAGTTTTAAGACGACTCTTAGACTGACGATTTTAAGACATAATATTTTCTAATTTTATTTATTGTGAAATGTATGTCATAATTAATTACAATGTATTCAGCTTTTGCAAGAATATTTCGATCGAAATCATCGACTTCCAATCTTTCGCGAACCACTGGCAGTGATAAAAGATAACAGTTGTGGAAAATTTTGCGCGCGTAATTGTCAAGACTGTCAGAATATCTAACGTCTTATGAAACTGTCAGAAAGATATTGTATTTTTAAGATCTCTTACACCATTTACACCTCGATTTACTTTTATTGTTTTAAAATGTCTTATTTAAATTTTAGATACGCGTAATTTCGGTTATTAATTATAGCAGTAACTTAAATAGAAAAAATTTATATATAAACAAAAAGATAAGCCAAAAAATTGCTTAAAACGACAGTTTGAAGAAAATTTTATATAAGCCGTTATTGTTAATAAATTTATATCATATGTCTGTGTATGTACACATGTATATTATATTACTAACTTATTACTCAAATGATTATTATTTGATAAACCCTAATAATGAATATTTTGTAATTTTTTAAAATTAATAATACAAAACACTTGACTTATAAGTATAAGCATGTAATACAATCATTGAAAGTCTTATTCAATCTATATCATGTATTGGGTTAGGTAATATAATTATATTAATAATTATATTAATTATTAATTATATGTAATTAATTATATATTATAATATAATTATATTAATTATTAATTATATATATTTAATTATATATTATAATATAATATTATTATATTATATTATAATATAATTATATTCATTCTATCTATCAACGTTTGCTCGATTTTACATCTTTCAAATTTGATGCAGGCTCCAAGGATAGAGTTGAGCATTCTTCATGCTCCGGTATCATCATCAAAGACTTCCCTTTCGTCCTGCTCCTATTTGATTTCGCCTCCCTTCCGGGGTGCCTTACGTTCGCCAACGTCAAGCAGCGGCGCGGCGTTTCTACGAAACGCACCGGGCAGAGCGGCATTTTTGCTCCCTTCGGCGTTTATTATTCGGTGCCGTGCGACCCGCCGCGATGAGTGCCTTCTTCCTGTGATCTACCGGTCTCTCTCTTTCTCCTCGCGACACATCTCCGTTCATCTGCCCGTGCCGTCCCCTCCCTTCTCCCCTTTCGGTGCGTGCCTTTCGTCTCCTCCGGGGGGGCCTCCCCCGACGCGCGCACTAATCAACTTCCTGGATGGGGCACATTATCGGCCTGATTGCAGGCAGATCCCAACGCCGCGGCGCGATATACCTAAGCCCATCGGCGCGGCAGATCTATCCGATCTCTCGGCAGTCGATCGCGCGCGCGAAAAGCAAAACGTACGTCGTCGGAAGCTCTGCGCGGATGTCACTCGCGCCCGCAACCTGATCGCGGTGCAATGATCCTGAACGTAATAGATCGGTTGTGACCTCCTTCGGGGCCTTACTCCCCCGTCGTCTTCCCCTTCCTCCCCCCCTCTCCCCCCCGTCATCGTTCGGGGCCAGCGTTCGGCTCACCGTGTGCTGGCTCGTGCAACCCGCCCTGATGGTTCGCGGTGGTTCGCGCGAAAGGATCGTCGTGTGTCGCGATGCGCTACCGAACGGTTCGCACGTGCCTCGATAATCGTTCGCGAGAAGAGGCGTTCGCTTGCCGAATTTGATTTTCTGAAGACGAGGAAGCGAAGAATCGTGACAATCCAGGGAGATAATCGCGGATTTTCATAAGCATTTTTTTTTTACAAGAGTGGAAGCGTTTTTAATTTCTTAAATTTGTCTCTTTAAACTCGCTCTAGCGAAGCTAAAAAAAAAGAGTACTAGCAATGAAATATTTCTTTAATTTTTAACGCTGTAAAATTCTAGATAATTTAATTGCATTAAAGAAAAATATAATTTTGTTCCTTAATAATTCCTCACGCAGATGAACTTATGAGAAAAATATCGTACGGGGATAATACACGTTTCTTCTTGGTAATCCAGAAAAATTGTGGACGTCGTTCAGTGTCTGAATAATCAAAGATCAAAAGATGATTCGCATCGTGCAAAGGCAGTAACGCAATTGCGAAGGCCGCGGGATGAAGGCTTGCACAAGGCCTATCTCGACATTCCTCGTGCCGCGTCTCACCTGAAATCTTGAAGCGACGTGTCTTCGAACGAAGATTGAAGGATGTCTTTGGGGCAGCGTATTTCCGGCGCGGTTGCGGTTCTCCGGGGGACCTCGACGGAGGCCAAGGAGGGCGGCGGGCACACGTAAAAGATTTCTTATGCTTTTGCCGAAAAAAAAAAAAAACAGTTTGAGCTGCTTCTCACCTGGGAATACCTTCCAGGTCGTGCGTGGAGGAGATCGAGAAGATGACATCCGAGGAGGAAGTCGAGGCCGAAGCGCAGCACAAAGTGACGGCGCTCGATAGGCTACAGATGGTCAGTAAAGTAAACTCTTTTCAAGAATCAATTTTATGATAGAGTCGATAGAATTTATTAATCAAGTGCGCCGTCCTTCAGTATTACTCTTAATTTTATCTCGCGATGAAGGCGCAATCAGAGAGAGGGTACGTCGCGCTTGAAAATTAATGTCGCGGGACCTAATTTGCTCCGGGAAGAAAAATGTCACGTCAGCGTGCGTTAGGAGCCTATTAAATTTGATTGTGGGGAATGTAGGTGATAGAATGGATGGGAAGTAACATGCTTCTGGCACTGACCATCGCTGGAGTTTTGCTGGGTCTGGGTCTTGGGTTTCTGGGTCGATTGGCCGATCTTACGCCGCAAGCTATAACCCTCGTCAGCTTCCCGGGAGAGCTTCTTATGCGGATGCTGAAGATGTTTATCCTGCCACTCATCATCTCCTCGTTAATTTCCGGTAATTATGATTCAATTCGATAATCCGCTTGACTTCTTGAGCAGATAATAAATAGAAAGAGAGAGAAGAAAAGAGACAAATTACGTAAATATTGAAAATGATTCAATCCGTTTGACTTCTTGAGCAGATAATAAATAGAAAAAAAAAGGAGAAGAAAAGAGATAATTCAATTACGTAAATATTGAAAACGAAGAATTGAATTTCGAACGTCAGAGTTTTGTATAGAAATATTATACGCTTGAAATTTTTCGACTTGCATTTCCTTTATCCGCGAGATATACGCGAGCTATTACTATTTCAGGAATGGCACAGCTGGATGTTCGAAGATCAGGAAGGATAGGGTTCAGAGCGTTAACGTACTACTCGATAACGACCATTCTCGCCGCCATAGTGGGCATCGCGATGGTGCTGATGATCCATCCGGGTAATCCGCAGATCAAAACCTCGGTCGCGGCGGTGGTGAAGGCCGAGGAGACGAAAGTCTCCACCGTAGACGCGATCCTCGACATAATTCGGTATGGAAAACCAGCCCCTCTATACGATACGCAATTCGTACCCGAAATCTCTTCCGCAATATCTTTCGTTTTCAGAAACATGTTGCCGGAGAACCTGGTGCAAGCGTGCTTCCAGCAGGTTCAGACCTCCTACGTGAGGAAGAAGGTGGTCGTGATCGCCGGTAACATGAATCAAAGCGAGTACATAATAGAGCCGGCCTTGGTTTACAAGGACGGCACAAACGTGATGGGTATGATCGTGTTCTGCATCATCTTCGGCGTACTCGCGGGCCAGATAGGACCGCGCGGCAAGCTGATGGTGGACTTCTTCGTCGTGCTGAACGAGATTATCATGAAACTCGTCACGATCGTCGTCGTTTGGTATGAAACGATAAATAATTTATATACGAATGAATAATTTATGTTCGCATCGCGCGCAAGCTCGAGGAATAATTGATTACATGACACATTACTCAATCTTATTTACAAATTTCTGGAATAATCGAATGAATCGATGAGAATACGAATACTGATTTGATATTACTTGGAGTTTAAGATAAACAAAATCTCTTTCCTCTCGTTTCCGACAAAATAATCTCTCTTTCACGACAATGCAATTGGCAATCGCTGTAGGTATTCTCCGTTCGGAATTATGTGTCTGATAGCTGGAAAAATCATGTCAATCACAAATCTGGCGGCAACCGCCCAGATGTTGGGTCTGTATATGGTGACAGTTGTAATAGGCTTGATGATACACGCGATCATCACGCTGCCATTGATCTACTGGTTTATGACCCGAAAGAATCCGGCGGTGTTCTTTAGAGGTATGATGCAAGCCTGGGTGACAGCGCTGGGAACCGCTTCGAGGTAATTTTGTTCAGCATGTGTATTGTGTGTTCTTTAAATCAGTCTTAACCTTTTGCGATCACTGTTTTAAAATTAATTCGAAAATTAGTTAATTAATTCAGAGATTATCTCAAAATTAATTTAAAAAATCAAAATATCACCGATTTATACAGAGAATTTCCTTTTAAAATTTACCGTAAAAATCATGTTAATCGTGGGATTACATAGTATTTCGACAAATTTTATGTAATTTTCTCTGTTTTTTTTACTGTGCATTACAATAAATTTGTAGTATATATATATATATATATATATATATATATATTAAACAAATAATGAAAGCATATAAAATTCGTCGAAATTGTGTTGCATGATTAGCATGATTTTCAGGATAAATTTTAAAATAAAATTCTCTCCATATATATATTCATGAAAAATAAATTGTATATAAAATTCAACTTTCTGACATGACTAACTTTTTAAAGTAATGGCAATGATGTAATCGATATAATGGGTTCATAGCGCAGCGACTTTGCCCCTGACTTTCCGTTGTCTCGAAGAAAATAACAAGATTGATCCGCGAGTGACGCGTTTTGTTGTGGCGGTCGGAGCCACCGTAAATATGGACGGCACGGCTCTTTACGAAGCCGTGGCCGCGATCTTTATCGCACAATTGAATGGAATCTCACTGGGATTCGTTGAAGTCATTACTGTCAGGTATCCGCATTTCGTAAATAGAATTTCTTTTTTTTTTTAACTATTAGTTTTATTTCACGAACTACTTTAAGCTATAATTGAAGGAAAGAAAATCTCGATCTAATTAGATACTTATAATATATCGAAGATTTCGTAGTATCTAATCAGTAAACTGAAAGAATTTAAATTATAATTCCCCTGTTTTCTAAAATTTTTTGCTTTTTTTCTAGTCTTACGGCTACTTTGGCGAGCGTTGGAGCCGCAAGTATCCCCAGCGCAGCCCTGGTCACCATGCTGTTGGTGCTGACTGCCTTGGGTCTCCCTACGAACGATGTTTCCCTGTTATTCGCCATCGACTGGATGTTGTAAGTTACATGTCCATCATTATAGGATTTCGGTAAAATTAGAGCGATCGTTTTGCTTTAAGGGATCGGATCAGGACCTCGATCAACGTTCTGGGCGACGGTTACGGGGCTGGTATAGTCTATCACTTAAGCAAAGCGGAGCTGGACAAGATGGACGAGGAGAGGAGGCTGGAGGGTCTGGAAACCGGAAGGCCTTTCGAGATCGCCGCCGAGGGCCGGCGAGAGGAGACAGAGACGCTTGAGCAGACTTCCGAGACGAAAATCTGAGGTCTTCTCGCAGATTTCAGAAAAATATTGACGCTGGTCTCGCCGAGAATGTTATCCGTCAGTTCGCAAGAACTATTACTCGTCCCTGTGTTAGGTATACTCGTGTATAACGCGATTGACTTTCACTGCCGAAATCGAGTTTCTTCCGTGGAGATTAAATGCAATGCATATCATAAGCTATATATATATTATTAAGAATGTAGGTATAATTTGAGTCTTATTAAAGGGTATACAAATAGGGTTCCATTTTTGTAGTATTAGCTAATGGGGATAAAGGCGTTAAACTAATTGAAGTAGAAAATGCGAGCATGTTAAGTACAAACCTAATGGAAACTGTAGATCGATTTCTCATCTTTCTTTTCCTTAGTGCGTGAGGAGATTCTTCTACTTTAGAATAATTTTAGTATCAACGAATGTACGCAGAAATAATCATGTACAGTAAAATAAAGACATAAAGTGCAGTAATAAAGGATTAGAAACTGCATCTGACACAAAAATCGTCAAAATGCGTTAAAATGTTTATCGACGATAGTTAAAAAGGAAATATTATATCGTGAATAAATTTAAACGGTTTATTTGAATGGCGTTGATTAAACGTTAATATTAATTATTGAGCTAAATTAATTGCTGTTGATAATGACGATCAAAATAATGATTTAGTCATTTACACGAATGTGTTCACAGCCGTTACGTGTATAGGTATATGTATATGGTTACCAGTACCTTCATCAAATAACTGTAATTCAGTAATTAATAATTTATTATGCAAATATATATATATCATATCTATATATATAATACATCCAATAAAGAACATGGCTCCTATATATCTCTATTGTATTGGCTCTTATATTGTCTTTCTACTTTTACGTTCAAATATTGGATAATAAATGCCGCGTCCGTGTTTCGAATGAAAAGTGTATTCTATATACATATCGACATACGTGTACAATATCGCGTGAACGCTTCATCGTTTATTTGGTCAATATCCGAAAGGCTTAAATAATATAAATACAACGACTGGCTTAGAGTAATTATGTAACTTTATGTATTTAAATAATTGCGTAATGTCACAATTGCTGCGAGCCATCCTCGCCGCCCTTTCTCTTCTCAATAGACGTGAACCATCCCATATAAAAATCTGATCGCGATAATTAAGAAATTTATAGCATATTGATATTGCAGATCTATAAAAGCATATTATTTGTCAGTGTGTCCGATGAATACGGAAAACTTGTAATTGAACTACAAATTGTATTTATTCAAAATTGTTACATTAAAAAACATTTATTCGTATATTCATTCAAAACTTTGGGTTTTCAAAAATGTTTATCCATGAATATTTTATGATTGTTTTACTAGTTTCATATTTATTTAAACAAAATGTAAATTAAAAAAGAAAGCTCCAACAAATAACTTTGCCTCTTAATACCCTCAATCATAATATCAGTACATTATATGTACATTACATAATATTAGTACATTATTTGTTTGCAAGCTGTGCAGACAGTACAGAGCGGAACTGAATGAAAATCGAAAATATTCACAAATATATTCATTCCAATTAAATAAAAAATATTTATTAATTTTCCCGTGAATATAAAAAAAATTATATTCTCCTCTTTCATACTTATTATACATTTATTTATTCAAATATTAATTATTATATTCATCGAACACACTATTACTTGTATCATTTGTACCGTGAAAAAGGATACGTCCAGAATAACACGTACGTCTGTAAAAAGTTTGACAATCGCGTTAAGGAAAATATATAGATCAGGCCTCTGAAAATAGAAATTATTCTTTAAACACTCCAAAGGATACGCAAAGCCCCCCAAAGAACCCGCTGGTCAAGAGGTGCCGCCTGCTAATGAAATACTTCTTCCACTGACCGCCAGCCTTCATCAATAGCATCGCCTACGAAGAAATGGCTCGTGACATTACGTACAATTGTCGTTGACGATATCACGGTGCTCTTACCCACAGCCCGAAAACCGCGAAGATGTAAAATCCGAATCCGTACAACCCGGTCAGCCCTAGCAGTCCGGCCGTACCGCCCGACAAAGCTGCCATTGAGATTTTACAGTATTCTACAACCGCGGCATTGTTTGCAACTGCTGTCTCGCTGTACGCGATGACTTCTGCAACATGCAACACGTACTTAATGCCCGTGTTTAGTCAACGTTAATAACGAGTTTAGTAATACAGGAAAACTCTTTGGAAACTGGGAAATTAATCAGAAATTCGTCATCGGACTCATCAACAAGCTAATTATGTTACTTCGCGGATTAATCAGACAAATTGTGACTGATTTTATTAATTTATATGCTGCTTGCGTCCGAATGATAAACAAATAAATAACAAACATAACCTCTCAAGAGGGCCTTCACAATATTTCTCAATTTCCTCGCACATTTGCCGCAGTCGCATTTATTTTCAAGATTTCTCTCACTTACCGCCGCTTTTTTCTTGCTTCGTTTTTATTTTCCCCAACATCACTTTGTTAATTAACGGGATGTTAACCTAACAGCAAAAAAATTAAAGGTACGACCCGTGCGAACGATAGGACTCCAGTCAGAGTCAGCTGGCTGCTCCGAATCTCCGATCAAGACACGTCAGACCGTCAGCTTCTGCGCATTCGAGTAACTGACGGCGGCAAGTTCAAAGACAGCCACGTAACTCGTGAGACATTGTTAAAAGCTCGCCGTTATTCAACAGACGATTGCATGTCAATCGTCTGTCAATTATCCATCGATTATCAATAATTTTTAATGGCACATAAATATGCAAACTTCGATCAAATTAATACCTTTCGATATTTATTTTTATTTTGATAAAAAATGATTATAGAGCACACAGTGTGTATGTGAGACTGTATATATTTATTTCCTGAAGAATCCATTTCTATCGCGTGTCCCCGTGACAATGATATGTTATGTTGAAAATCTTGGCAAGGATCGGTGGCAACAAAAGTTAGGTACAAGATTATAATAGTCATTCGTTGAAATTTGAGAATGTTATAAACCGAATATCGCCAAATGATTTATTTCACGCGATAACTTTTGCGTCGATTGAATTAAATTCTGCGATTTTAATTCGGTCATGACATAATATGCATTCATTTGCTAAAAATATATCAATTCTGAATAGAAAATTATTAATAAAGTTTTCGATATATTATTTTGTCAAAATGTATAATGTAAGAAATTTATAATGTATAAATGCGTCGGTCGAATTAAATTCTGCGGTTTTAATTCGGTCATAATATAATGCGTTCATTGAAATTATTATTAAAAATATACGAATTTAAAGTATAAAATTATTAATAAAGTTTTTGATATATTATTTTGTCAAAATGTATAAAATATGTACAATATATAAATGTACATACAATTTTTACACCATATAAATAAATTGTACAAATTGCAAACAATTTTATAATAAGTAATATTCTATGATAAAAAATATATTTCAATAAGTGCAATAAATAATAATCATTTCAGAAATCTAAAAAAATTCAAGTGTTATAATTATTTCCTATTGCACTCCAAATCCAAGTGTGAAAATCTGTAGTCACTTTTTACGCATTTATACGCGTGTTATATTTTTACACATTTTATCTGTGTTTTACACAGTTAAATGCATATTTTTACACGCTTAATTTTACAATAATGTGTGCAAGCGTGTAAAAAATATGCATTTAACTGTGTAAAACACAGATAAAATGTGTAAAAATATAACACGCGTTTTAATGCGTAAAAAAGTGACTACAGATTTACACACTTGGATTTGGAGTGTGTTCTATTGCAAATTTTATTATTGCAAATCGATCATGTTGGTGTCGCTATCGTGGATCTACGTGATCTTAGAAAAAACAATTTGGGAAAAACTAAAATAGCAAATAGAGGAATGACATCGACCAATGAAATTATGCAGTATGAAAGTTATTGAATATTTTTCAATTTATTATATATTAATTTAAAAGTTACTGACAGCCCTCAGGTGATTCCGATACCGCCGCTCCCCCGAGGTTTCCTCAGGTATGAAACGCGAAACGCGCGGAGCGGAGCGCGGCGCGGTTCGCTCGGCTCGAGGCTGAAAATAGCCGTCGCTCCGCTCGGCTCGGCATAGCTCCGCGAGCTCCGACAGATATTCCGTCGCGGGGGTCCGATCTTACGCGGTCAGACAAGCAGGAGGCTCGGCCACCCAGGAGAATCCTCGGCCGGGCGCGCGAAATACCCTTCGCACCCTGTGACAGTGGTGCGTTTGCCGTGCGTGCGTTTACGAATTTCTAAGCGAGGAAGGTTCGCGTAGAAAATTCGCCGAGTTTGTGACGAAGTGAAACGTTAATTTCGAGGTGAGTCTTTTCGGGGTGTGAGAATCGTCACTATTAATTCCATCTCTTCTCATTCGCGAACATCACGTGGCCTTCGAGAACGAAACCACCGGTTGCACCCTGTTACACATAGGGCGTGTGTGTATGTATGACTGTGTACGTGCGTGCGTGATGCTTTGAGTGACGTGCTTCTGGAAGATCGTAGTGCTATTTTTTGCGTAGTAATTCAACTTTCTTAACTAATTAATTAATTCCGTGGAGTAGTTTCCTATGGAGTGTTGCGAATGTAACTTCTGTATATTGAGATACCATCAAAAGAATATCATGCATATACGATAGCGCTCCTGGATGTATATAGCTTTAACGCACGCTACATAATTATTAAATTAATTTTTAAAGACAGGCTTGGTTAAATGAACAAGAATAGATACTTTTAATTACTTATAGAAGAAGCTTAATATATTTCGCGTTTTAAATTTCGCATTTTCGCGCAGTTAAATTCAGCGAACAGACCTAAAATTAGAAACTCATTTTATATTCTTATGCAATGCTGCCTTCTGGAATATATCTGCCAGAAATGTCTCAATGGAACATACTTCAATCAATGAAATCTAAATCTTAATTTTAAATTGACTTAACAAAAAATTTAATTTCTTTTACGGATTAAATTACTACATTTTTGTTATTTAATCAAAATGTAAAATGGAAATTAATTTCGCTATATTTTCATTGTTTTTATGCTATTTTGTAATATTATTGCAAATTAATAATTGAAAGTAACAGTAAATCGTTTCCGATATAAAACGTTCAATATCGCGACGAATGATGAGAATACAGAAAATATTTATAGATCATATGTTGGAATACGTAGAGATTTTATCGATTTATTATGAAATTTTTATTTGATTCTAAAGCAATTTTACCGCAAATATAATAGAATACATATCTATTGTTAACGTTATTCCTATTACCATAGCTAAAGAACTTAAAAATTTTCACGAGGATAGACATCCAGTACGTGCTTCTCGAGTAATATCTTTAACCTTCGATTATCATATTAAACGCGATAATGGGGAGGCGAGTCTCGTTAAGCATATGGGGATATTTCGGTAAGCCATCGCGGATGCATCTATTTCTGCCGCGTTGCTGGAAATAGACTCTCAGAGAAGGTAAAATCAACCAGTAATTCTGTGTCGATGCATTGCATCGTCGCTGCCAAATTGTAGTTTTTTTACTATGCAGTTTAAAAAGAGAGAGAGAGAGAGAGAGAGAGAGAGAAAGATAGTAAAAAAAATTTTGTTTTTTAAATAAAAATATAAATAAAATTTACAATATTGCAAAACGCATCCAATATTTTTGCATAATTTACATCGTTTTCAACGACTCCAATTTCACGAAAATAAATAAGACAATAGCAAAGAATTTTAAAACTATATGTATATATCACGATAAATTATTAAAAATTAATTAATCATTTTAAGAAGTATCTTCCAGCTAATATATCGTATTAAAACGGCAGAATTAATTTAATTATGCGAAAAACGGTCACATCAAATAAATCGTTTGACAATTATTCGGTTTATAACATTCTCAAATTACGACAAATGACAATTGTAATTTTGAGCTCATTGCAATGACATCAAATAAATACGATGTTACATGTATGTTATATCATAACACTCTGTAAAGGCTAAAAGCTATTGTATTTAAACGTTTAATGTTATGGTCAACATTTATCTACTGATTCCGTGTATTCAGCGTAATAATATCGTTTGTAATCAATCAATAATCGGTATTTCCGGTTCTCATATTGAAATCGAAGCTAGAGTCAATAGTTATAGCAAACGCTCGTGCAGTTTACGTTCGTAATATAAGCGGACTGAATCAAATTCATCTTGAATTGGACGCTTTATTTGCCACATTTTTCGACTGCTCTCGTAATTCAAGATACTTTCTAATTTTGTAACGTAATCCGACGGAGAGCACTCATTCATGACTCACTCATGAACCCTCGCCTTTGCGTTCATCGGTGAAATAAGAGATGTGTTTGCTCGAAACTATTTTTACGCGACTACAAAATCGCCGAAATACACGTGTCTCATCTTTCTTTCTCATGTGCCATTTAGAATGTTATTAACACGTATGACCATAAATCGAGACTGTTTACAAGCACATGACGCTACACTCCATTTTCGAAGATTAATTTAAAAATCTCAATAATATAAAGAGCCAAGATTTTTTCTCTTTAATAAAAAAAGTAGTAGTATATATAAGTAATAGAACTGAAAGGTTCAAATTGTTAAAATAAAAAGCCATTCATATAAAAGACCATTTCATACTACTTTAAATTAGCACAACACGTTTGCGATATGTGTTTTTTGAATGAAAATCACGATTTGTGTTATTTTTAAATGAAAACCACCCTCTACCTCTCGCTATTCAAGTCTACCCTCGTTATTCAAGTTTATTCAGAAAGGAAAAAGAGAAAAACTAACAATATTTCGCGGTGAGACGGACGACCGTGTAACGCGAAGACCGTGTAAACACAGTCGCACAACGTGGAATTTTTCACGTTAATGGAATCTCGAGCATGCGGAATTTGATTGAAGGTGTCGGGCGCTTGCGCGAGGGGCCGTCGGCGAGCGGTCTGGGTGCCATCCGATCAGCAGTGGGTGATCGTCGGTGCCCTACGACGGTTCAGCGCGCCGACGTCGGCATCACCGTCGTCGTCGTCGTCGTCGTCGTACTCGACGAGGCGAAGAGGCCGGGGAACCTGTGTGTATACATAAGTGAACGGGAGCATGCCGTCCACGCGGAACCGTGCATGACCACCGCGTCCGCATCGAGCATCGACAAGGGTGCCTCGGACACGTTAGTGACACGCGAGACAACGCACGCACACGCGCGCACGTACGCACGAGCGCGCAGAGGGTGAGCACGCAGACGGAGGAGGGCTCGTCGCGTGAGAGCGCGCCGAAGGGATGGCCGATAGCGAGGGTGGCTCCGAGCAGGACGACGTATCATTCCTCCGCACGGTAAGTCTTACTTTTCTCTGTGTGGAAGCTGCGGCCTCGCGCGATAGTCACGGGCCATTGGCTTCGACCTTTTAAGGCGGATGCTGGAGAGAGATTGTAATCAGAAAGCTCGCGTAATGCCAGTGACGATGTAAGGTTGTTATTTTCTGGGGGGTGCGAAGAAGATAATTCAGGAGATCATGTTGGGAGATGTTAACAAAAATCTCGTGATTGATGATCCCAGGAATGTTAAAGCCGATCATCATCGACGGGCGGAGACGCGATCGAATTCGCGTGAAAAGAGATCAGAAGCGCATTTCTCGTTAACGTGTAGTTTTCATTAACAACTTGCTTATAATTAATTTTCTCTTCTGGACCGGATTCTTCCACTGTTCACCAAATAAAGCTATTTAAATCGCTAATGAATATATCGACGGGAATTAACGCGGGTTTCTCGTTTCGACGAATCCAATCCGCGATAGATTAGACGAAAGATGATATAGTTTCATTGACGTTAACAGCTTCGCAAAGTTCACACGAGAGATGGATGTTGCGATATGAATGCCCTATGACGGTTATCAATAGGCTCGAAACGAGCCGAGTTAATGTGCCAGCGCATACAAGTGTGCACCTGCTGAAAGCGGCGCGAGAAACGGGGAGGTGATTCGCGTTCAATGATGCGGCGATGTGTGTATGTGTGAAAGTGAATGAATGCCGATGCAGTTGGTGGAACTTTGTTTGCACCAACACGGGAGGTGGGCAGACTCTACGCATTGCGCGAGGCGAGCCGGTGCATTACGTATTACACCGATGCGATACAATGATAATATTACCATATAGCTTACGTATAGTTATGATTTCTGTAATGCACCTCGCGCGAAAATATCGACCAGATGCGATTCGTGTAATAATCTGCAAAAATGTTTAATTCAGAAAATTTAGTATTTAACGTTAAATATAATATGTGACACACTATGTTTTCAAATTGAATTAAATCACGACGTACTTTTTGGTAAAAAGAAATCGATTAACGAAACATTCTGTAATTAATAATTTAGTAATTTTTTATGACGGGTTTAACGCTAAGTGAATTCAAGAATTAAAGCTGCCTGAGCGCGTTCGCTTTAATTTACAAATGCAATTTCTTACGTGGAAAGTCATGACAAGAAAAACCGTAAGCGATTTTAGCGAAACGTGGAAGCACTTAAAAGTGCAACTTAAAGTACCTTGCAGCACAACCTTGACCTCGTCCGACCTGCAGAGATCAAGCGCATTGAACGTAGAACCGTGTACTTTTGTCATTGCGTCATGACGTTTAATTTATGTTGCGTTTACATTTATCTATGTATTTGCTCAATACCCGCAGCTGATTATCGTAAAATTTATTTCAGCCAGTCGTAAATGCAATATTCATCTTCCGTAATTATAGATGCTCATCGTGCTTTGGTTTTAATATTTTATTAATCCTGTATTTAAACATCAATCTTTTAAATAAATATATATTTATATAAAAACGGGATTGAAAAATTAATTACAAATTACAGTTTCAAAAATATTCAACTTATCGCATAAAATTGCTCACAAATTATACAGAATTGCGTTTTTTCTATTTTATCTTCGTGTTTATTGCAATCGTGTTCCGCTATTCTCTCTCCCATTTCTACCCAAAACTGGATGTTTAAAATCCCAAAATATATGTATACCAAAGCACATAACAATGTGTGTTACCGACAATATTTTTCGTGCTGCTGCTTTGAAGTAAAAAAAAATTCAAAGGTCAAACGTGTTTCGAAATTTTTAATGCGCTGTTTTATCAGGCATTATTTATGTTCTAATTTCCTCATTTTCCAGTTTTTCATGTAATATCTGGTTTGGCTCTTTTAATGGCTACACTGATGGATTTCTGGAGCATTTAACGGCAAGAACCGGAAGTTTTCTTCACTAACTGCGCCCGCATCCTCTTCTCCTTCTTCTCCCCTTCGTTCCCCTCCGTCGCCTTTTCCGTTCTCTTTCCGCCAGACGTATGTACTTCGTCCTCTCTGCCTCGGGCAAGGCGCACCACTCCTTGCCGGCCTGACGGGCGACCTCCGTCACGTGTTTCCCGGGCATCTGATAGTACATCTCGAGATAGAAGATAATGAAGGGATTCTGCGAGAGAATTTGTTTCCCTCTTCTCTTTCGATTTTTCTTTCCTCTCGGGGATTCCGCGCCAGTCTCGCCACACCGGCATCCCCCGCCCTTTCTCTCGGCCCTTCGCATGCAGCGACTCATACGCCTTTTATCCTGCTCGACAGCTTTCTTATCCGTCGTTTCCTCGACTACCTCTTTAGCCGATTCTTCAATAACGCGTCTGCGAAGAGGTTTTAACCGGTTTATCTCACTATTGTGTAATTCCATTACGATTCATTATAAATTATAATAGATACATAATATATACAAATTAATTAATGTCTCTAATTTTCCCTCGAAATGCATTGTTAATGCATGCATTTATTATGCATTCAGTGCAATATGCATTAAAATTGCGGCGATTAAAGGAAATTGAAATATTCAAATTTTCGCGAAATTTTCGGTTCTTCTCCGAAGGTCTTCGCAGACCGCTGCTCGACTCACTTTACGACCAGCAGCGAAAATTTTACGACCACGAAGTATAGATATATATATACGTATATAAAGCACGTGGGAACGTTGAGCAAAGAGATCGATTGTTTCCTAGGAGAACGGAGCTTCGATCATCGACGCGGTTGCGACTGTCTTCGCGGGATTTAAATGGCCTTTCATGCTCCTTAAAGAATCGATGTGGCGAAATCGCGTGAGAAGATACGTTTCCGCTTAGATTCGCGTCGCGATAACGTGCACAATTGGCGGCGGAGAAAACCGGCGCCGGGAAATGAATCACTCGCGCTTCTATACACGAAACGTCATGTCCGCACCTTTCGACCAGGCTACCCTTCCTGCGAATGGATTAGCGTAGCCGCGGTCACGACAGCCCGGCGGGGGCACGGAATATCGCTCACCTGCCATCGTCGGATCTTCTCTCGTAAACGTCAGGCTCGTCCATCCTCCGCCGTTTTCCGCTGTCGCGGAAATTTTCACTTGGTAATTTCACGCGGTTTCGAGAGGGAAGCGAAATGTCGTCCGCACGAAAACATCTGAAGTTTTACGAGCTTAATTCTCTCACTTCGCACACTCGAGAATAGTCGAGAGATGGGTAGGGTCCCCTATCGATTACCGACGCGTTGCGATAACAATAATTATCTAATAAGATCGAGTATCAAGCGTGTGCACACCACCGCCCACCGCGACCGCCGCCGCCGCGGGGATAAAGTTATAGCGCCGCGTGCAAAGTTAAATTTGTATGTAACTTCGTAATTGCGATCATTTCAACTTTGCCGCGGAAATTGCCTCTCGGCAAAACAGGAACTCGCGAAAGGTGTCATCCTGAATTTTAATTTACCGCTGATTTATTAATTCACGCAGAAAGTCGGAACAGAATCCCCCCCCTCCGCGCGTAAGTCGCGTTGTAAATTAATTCACAGACCGGTAATCGTAAGAAAAAAAAGTCCGTAAATTAATTTACAACGCGACTTACGATTATAGGAGAGTTTTCTGTTCCGACTTTTTTTTTCTTATGATTACCGGTCTGTAAATCAATTTACAACGTGACTACGATAACGAAAAATAATATAAATGTTAATTCACGTAGAAAGCCCGAATGGAAAAAATTTGCAACGCGACTTTACGAGATTACGAAAGATAATATAAATAAAATAAAATAAATAATTCCAATCTTTTTGTAGACAAATTTAAAAGGAGTATGTGTAACGATAACATCACGAAATTCTTTTCGTTAAATTTGTAGATAACATCATTCTTAATTAATTACACTTCGCCTTAACGCCCTTGTCTTCGAAGAGACCTATACAGTCAGGTGATTCATTGTGCAGTTTACTGACAGAACTTTACGGCACGTGCTGTGCACGTCGCGTGCGTAGAAGTCCAGCAAAGTTCCCTCCCGGCACGTCGTCGTCGTCGGTACATTATCGGGGCTCTCTTCTTTAAAGTCGCTTCTTCAAAGCGAGTCTCTTTTTAGTTAATTTTAGAATTTAATGCGACGCCGTTCTGTCTGATCGATCGACCGCCGCGTATAGCTTTCATTAGTGATGTCGCATCGAAAAATGATGAATTTATAATTAATATACACCGCGATATGCAGCGTGCGTTGGATAACACCGAGTATCGAACAACAAACGATATAGTACCACGCACGACAGGAACACCTTTCTAAAGCGCCTCTTCCAGCTCAGTGGTGCCCGCCACGAGGTACACTTTTTTACCGATATGTTTATCAAACGCTCCGTCATTTTACACGCCAGTATTTCTAATAAATTAAGGCAGCAACGAAATGTTATGTTAACTTGAGTGAAGTGGAGTTGGAAAGGATTAAGTCAAGCGTTTCGAATTTTACGAAAGGATTAATTCGAGCAAATTTGAATTTTCAGAACTTCGATTTTAAGAAAGTCTTAATTCCGCTAGATATCTTCAATCATAAAGGATTAAGCCAAGTTCTTCGACAGGATTAATTCGAATTTTCAGGATTTCGATTTTAAGAAGGTTTCAATTCCGCTAAGTATCTTCAATCGTAATAAATTCTGCGTAAATTTTCTCGTATCATGCACAAGTTTCTTTTTCCTTCTGCAAATCTAAACAAAAAGTTTTGAAAATGTGCAATGTGAGTGTGCAAAGGGTAAATATGATTTATGGTGATTTGTCGGTTTGATAGAATTATAGGAGCTGTCTGCTTGTAAAATGAAGGTTTATCCTTGACCTATACCACAATATGTTGTGGTTTCGATCGTCGCCAGACGCCGGAAGTACATAAATGCTGGTGCATTTGGTTCATTATCAATGCATACGTCGCGCGTTCGTCAAATTACGAGCAATTATATTTTAATGTTAAGGAAAAAATTGAATATAAAATGTGCAATTAATCCATAATCTCCGGCGTCGCACTTATTAACAGTAAAATCAATAATTTAAATATCGCAGAAAGAAATCGGATTACATATGTTTGATACAATTATTATAAAACAAGAAAAAATATAATATTACCCTCTTGGAAAGATACACAGAAACCACAAATAATATAATATAGAAAATAAGGCGTTTATATTTCTTTTAATAACTTTTTCATTTGTATTTTTGTCTTCTTAATTTACCACGTAAATTATATAAAATTATTATTAGAGAATCGCGAATTGGAGAATTTGGGAAATAAATATTATTTTTTATTTTTTCATATTATATTTAATTATAATCAATTATAATTATAATTAACGTTGGCAAAGTTGGCAATTTATAAAACCATCCGCGTCAACAGCGAATTGACCGATTGCGCCTTTATTAATATCTCGATAAACAAGATTAGGTCTCATTGCCAAATTTCCAGCGGAAAACGTCTTTGCGTGTCTCAAGAGCAAATACATACGAGCCGACGTATGGCGAGTCGCGTGTTTATTTCGTTTAAAGCAGAAAGTTATGTTAATGTCCTTTAACATTACTTATGCATTTTTCTCTCTGTTGCATTTTAATTTCTTTAAAACTTGAACACACAAGTCGGGGGATGTGCGTGCGCGTTCACGGTTACGCACACCATCGCACAGCATTCGATATATAACCGCGAATATTCGGATTATATTTCTACCAAAATATATAGAAAGAGAGAGAGAGAAAAAGAACGGATGTGTGATGACACAGGTAGGACACGATTCATATGCTCGTGTAAAGCAATTTCGTTTGCTGCACGGACGATCCTGCGAGCCAGATTCTGCCATCGATTTCAATTTAGCTCTATTTAATCGGTTGATTGTCTTAGTTACGTTGTGTCACATATTCTTGATTGCCAATAAATCGTGCTGATTAGCGTCGCGAATTGGAGAATATTTCGAGTGCGAGTTGCTTGCAGGTACGCTCCATTTTTAATTAAAGACCGATAAACGCGCGCGCACGTTTAATTTAATTTAACATAACGTACTGCAATTTCTAACAGCAAAAATAAGGATTTAAAATGTTCTCTAAAAAATAAGATTTTATATATATTTGCAATAATGGTTAAAACAATTTCATCGAGATTTTCATTTAAATTACACACTGCTTTATTTAGAATGATATTGAAGAAGAGAGAGCACTTAGATGATTGCTGCGACTGTCATATTAATTTTCTCAACTTATCATTAAAACTGCGCTTGGATATTATTAACCATGTTACGATCTTATATCGCGGCAACTCATCACGTAATTTATATCCTTATTTTTATAATATAGGTGTGTACCGATTGAGTGATCAAGCTGTCTGTTCTAAACTAATATTAAAAGAAATAACGAGATAAAAAACAATTCTCTCTATAAGATCACAAATTTCTCACGGCTGCGTATAGCAGTTGACTTCATTCTCTTTTTTTTTCTCCTTTTTCTTCAACATCTCTCTACTTAAAGTTAAAGGGCACGGATACTGTACGTAATTCTTTGCTTACAGTAGCTGGCCAAGTGTAAGAAAAAATAAAACCGTCGATGTAAGAAATTAACATTTTTGCGATTGCTTTACAAAAAGAAAGGGCAAAGAGGACGGGAACTTAGGAGAGTATCCAGAGTAAAATCCAATACAAAGGTGGATAAAGTCTACGCGTTCAAGGGTTAAAATCGAGCGACGCAAAATCGAGTGACTCACTCGACTTTGCTTTCCGAGAGGCGCGACGTTATTGCCTGCATTAAACAACGCCCCGCGGCTCGCCGCTCCTCGCGACGCGTCCAAAAATTACGAGATGCACCCGAAGCCGGCGTACTTGTGTATCCGTTCCACCGTGCATTCTTGAGGTCGTCCAAATTGGTTTTGGCACGGGCGGCCGCGTTCTGTCGTTCGGCCGGCATAATTCAGCGCGATTTCGCAAAGGCACTGCACTCGTTATTACCGCAGCAGTGAAAATGTCTTTCGCGATAGACATCACTCAGATTTCAGAGCAACAATATCGGTCCGACAGCATCCGATGGTCATTCTAACAGCATCTTCCTCGATCTTCGATTACATATCCGCGAGACTCGCGAACGGATCGTTACTCCGTAGAACCGTCTGTTGCGGATTGCAAAATAGTTAGGTGGTATTGCGCATTATTGCAGCACAGCAAACATCAACGCGATGCAATCGCGAGAGAAATTCGTGCTATGGTCTCTAATTAATTTATACTGCGATTGACATATAAATTTCAAATAAAGCAATCAAAATATTTAGAAAGTAAAAGTAAATCAACGTATAGCTATATTGTATATATAGCTATAAATTATTACCATTTTGAAGTAAATAATTATATATATTGTTAAAATAATTATTAAGAATTTACGCTAACAATGAGTCTTGTTTCTTTCCAAGAATCAAAAGAATTTTACAAAATTATTCTAAAACTTATATTCTTAACCTTTTCAGTTTTAAGTTAGATTTTCGAAAAAAATTAAATAGGTCATTGTTACGCAGAACATACATAAAGGTATCATCTAAAATTTACAGGAGGATATGGTATGCCTGTCCTGTACCGCAACAGGAGAGAGGGTCTGCCTGGCAGCTGAGGGTTTCGGCAATCGACATTGCTTTCTCGAAAATATCGCAGATAAGGTAAAGTCAAATTTCCGCAGACAGTTTTTCCCGTCTTGTTCTCTCGCGTACACACTTAATAACTCTTCTCTTCCAGAACATACCGCCAGACCTGTCGCAATGCGTGTTCGTGATCGAGCAGGCCCTCTCGGTGAGGGCACTGCAGGAACTGGTCACCGCTGCCGGCTCCGAGACGGTAACGTATAAGTTACTATCTGCCTATAATATCGTACACTCGTATATGACTTCAGCTTCGCCGAAACGAAACTCGTAGATCCAGTCGTAGCTTCTATTCGATATTCGTGCCACATCAAAGAGAAAAACGGCGACTCTCTCGTTTCAAGGGAGGTGAACAATTCGAACGCGTGACACTACGAACCGACGACGCTCGTGCAGCTCGATTCATACGATCCGCTAATTGCAGCCCGCGCGAATAGAAAACGATATCACCCGCCTCCTCGTGGGGCTCTTTAGACTCTTCTTAGAAGCTCTTTACATTCCAAATTAGTCGTCAAATATTA